AGAAGATCTGGGTGTTTCTTTGTTTTTCCATTTCAACTTGTTACATAAATTAGAAAAGGTTCTCATAGAATGGAAATGATGAGCAATGTGGATTTTCAGGCAATCAAAACATTTTAATGATCTCATTAAATGTATCATTTACAACACATATATGTTAAAAGAAATATGTTTCTCTGAGTTAGTAGAAGCGCTGGGTACACAATGTGTTGGAACATGTTAGGCTTGCGCTAGAATCTGTGCCAGAACTGCAGAAACCTGGAGGAAAAAACCCCAAAACTTCAGCCTTTTTCTTGTGTCAGTTTCTTCAGAGACAGAAACCTTTTATTCATATTTTATGCAAAATGAGGAAAAAAGGTGTTACGAGAACTTGATAGATTTTTCTAGTTCTGCATCTCAGTTGATAGATAAGGACTGCTATTGGATAGTGTAAGATTGATTGTCGTTCTGCAGTATTGCTAGGGTTAATAATGGATTTTCTTAGGCATGCAACAACTGGTGTTTTACAGGGAGAAGAGTCTTCCTAAGACCACAGTTTTAACATTAGTTAGGTTTTGTATGAAGTCTTGAGAGCTTGGAAAATGAGGCTTCTTGAAAAGAAACAGATGCTAGAATAGTGACTCTTAAAGCTGCTTCACCCATTTGGTTGCTTGTTCTAAACCACAGATTCTGGAGAAAAACACCTACTTCAAACAAGCAGTTCCCTGATGAGTCACAAAGGGTGAAACCCCAGTGCTGATAAAAGCAATGGGGTACTGATGCAGAGACTAAGATTTATCTTGTTTTGTGTCTTGGGACAATCCAGCTTTGGAACTGTAGGTGCATTAAGACCATGCCTCCTAACGGAATAGTTTTCAATATGTGTTAATGAGAGATGTGTCCAGCTTTCAAAACGGTATCTTTGCCAGGTAGAGGCAGCATCCTTTTTGAAGGGATGAGCTGTTTTCCACCCTGAGCCAAGCAGCACAATGGGTGACAGGCCTGGGCTGGAGAGCAAAAGCTATTGCATTATACCTCTGCTATTTCTTTTAATTCGTAGTATTGTTCCTGCAGTGGTTTGCTGACAAGTTATATGTTTTACAGATCAAGTCTGCTTGATGAGGAATCCTTGCTTTAAATCCTGTCTAGGGTAAATCGGGTTTGTAAATCAGACCTTATGGTTCCTATTGGAATGCTAATGATCTCAAAGGGAGGGCCTGCGTTTTGAAAACAAATCTAAGCTAATGCCCAGGGTTCCTAAAAGAGCTGTTAATATCATGAAAACTCTTGTTAAAGGCCCCTTTTAAAAATGTAAGAACTTGTCAGACCCTGTTTAACCAGGGCTGTTTGGGACTGCTGAAAGGACACACCAAAGCATCCTTTGCTAGGGCTGGCCACATCTTTAATGCTGCAATTCCAGTGCTGCCAATAGCAATGCAAACCAGAGCATAATGTGGCCCATCATGGTTTGGATGTATTTGCTGCAGAGATAACTATGCAGGGAAGCCCAGCATGCTTGGCCCTACAGACAGCAAGAATGGCTCTTCTCTGGGTTACTTTGGGAAAGTGAGCTCCCGGACATCTGCCACCCACACACGTTTTGAAAAGGCGTTCAAATAAGTCAAAATACATCAACCAAATGACTGAGTTTTGAACACTTCACATTTATTCTGAGGTGTACTCTAAGTACATGTATTACAAGGTACTAGGTGTGAGCAAGGAGTTGTGTTTTACAAAACCTCTCTGAGCTGAGGAAGCAGTGCAGAGCCAGGAGACAAATATGGCACTCTGACATCTCTCTTTCCCACCAGTCTAAGGTAGCTTCTGTCACTGTCACCAACACATTTCCAGGTGAATTCGTAAGGTTAGTAGCACAACAAATTAGGCCTTATTCACCTGTGATAACTGGTGGCATTTTAGCTGCTGCATCATCTTGATCCGATGAAAATCAACATAGAAGGTAAAGTGGTTAACACACCAGCAGCTCTGATGATATTCTTCCTGGCACAGAATGACCATTTTGTGGAGAAAAATTATTTTATGTGTTCAACATTAGCAAGTCTTCACTACCTCCTAACGAAGAAGGACGCTAACAATTCCTGTGCCTCAAAAGGTACTTTGTATTCAGTTATACAAAGATAAATGTAGCATTTTGCCTTGACCTTTTAGGTAGAATCAATCCTGAGGTAAAAGACATTACTTCTGCTAAATTTCAGACCAAAGCAATGTCGTAGCCAAATTGCAAACCTCTAGGACACGGCTTTTTAGTGGAAATGCTGACATAGCCTTAACTATGTATGACTCCAGCCGGCACCAACTTAAATTCTAGTTATGATGTGCATTTAATGGCATGGGATCAAACACAGAGTGTAATGGGATATTTTAAGATACTGCTTATGAAGAGAATCAGTACTTAAACATTATTTATGAACCATATCATTTAAATGCTTCTGAAATGTGCCATTCAGTCCTTGGGTGCATGAAAAAAAATTTCTAATCGCTTTTCTCAGAATGAACAGTAGCATAGTTTTCTTCCACAGCTTTAGTGCTGAGGCACTTCTAAGAAGAGGGTTGGTAGTATTTAGTGCAACCCTTACTGGAATATGTATGGAAAAGAAAGGTTTTCATTTTTCATTGTGGTGCTCTCTAGTTCTTCATTTCAGCCTTTTGAGGAATATTCCAATCTTGCTTGGAGGATATCTTTGAAGATTGTTTCTCTCCAGTTAACAGTGACCCTGCAAGAAGAGAGCAGTTACGAGTATTTGTTGTGCTGTTCTAGACAAATCAGCTCTTTCTTGAATGATGTCTTTCATATAATTAAAGTTAAATTGATAGCCTAAAAGTTTTTCTCTCACATATCCTAATCTGCTGCCTTTTTTTTTTCTTTCTTTTTTTTTATGCTGAGGAAGGATTTGCTACAAAAGAGAACATGACATTCATTAGTTGTGCAGGTTGACAGTAAAACTTGCTTTAATGCAGATGGTGACTAGAACTCTCATTACTTTTGCTGCAAATGGGAATGTAGTGTTGAAAGCAGTCAGTTTTGCTGATTTCTCAGTTGCAGCCTGGAACTTTAAACCATCTTCTTTATCCTATAAAGAAACCTATTCCTTCAGATGTTATTTGCTGAATAAAAATGCTAACTGAAATAATTTTTGTGCAAGTTAGGAAATCTCAGATCTAGTCCTAGTAAGTTTTTGCCATAGGTTGAATCTGTTTTTAATTAATTAGCAACAATCTGTGTGAAGGTCTCAAAGCACTTTGATAAGTTAAAAATAGAAACAATCTTTGGAGAGGTACCAGTCTGACTAAGCCAAAGAGACTCTCACTGGTTTCTGTTAAGCCAGAACTCCACTCCTGCTGCAAGCCTGTCCAGCCAGGAACAGGAGAGCTATAGTATTTTGCTTTCAAATAGTAGAGTCACAGTGTCCAATTTTACTGTCCAATATTTGAGAAATTTGCTTTGAAAAAGACTCTGGAGTATATTTTGTTTCTGAAAGTTTGCAAATCACTGTTTAGGAAGCTTCCTTTATATAGGTACAACTTTTCAGGAGATATGGAAATTATATGATTTTCATCTTTTAAAGAACAGGCACAACTTGATGATTTATCCTAAATGGATAATAACCAGAATTGCAATTAGTTCAGCAGTTGATGAAAATTTAAAATTCTATCTTAATCCTGTGGTAAGGTCTGAATTATTTAATTTCTTCATTCCACATGATTCTTAGAGGTGTGGGGTTTTTTTGTTTTTGTTTGTTTGTTTGTTTGTTTGTTTTTGTTTTGGGTTTTTTTGTTGTTTTTTTGTTTGTTTGGTTTGGTTTTTTTACTTTTAGTAGGGTCAAATGACATAGAAAAGTACTGTAGTGCTCTTGGCACTACAGAAAAAACTAGTAGTCTGAAAAAGACACTTCGCATTGTTTAATAATGTTGCAGCAACCTACTGTTTGTTTGACAGGAAACAGAACATATTGAGACACATATCTAAAGAGCAGAGTTCCATAATGAAAAAAACTACATGCATGCATTGAACGTATAAGCTACACTTTTGAGACTTTTAAAATTTGCTAAAAGCATTTTACAACTACAGACATTTTCACTAACTCTCCTGTTTTTCATTTGGAGGAGGTATCATCTGTCACCATTTAATCATATCTTTTTTTAGCTATTAAAAAGGCATGTAATTTTAATTTTTGTGGCTCATTAGTGTGCAAATGCCATTGGGCTTGTTTGGCCTAAACTACTGATCTAAATTCAAATCCCTCTGCTTTTGAGAAGACTATGACCACCTTTTAGAAACACAGCCATCATAATCTGAAAATAAGTAACAAAAATATTGTTTAAAGCAACTGCATTGGAAGCAGAAGTACACCCACAAATTTTCCAGAGTAACAGAGTGAACAACGTACTGAAATACGGCAAAATAAAGTACAGTCTTCAATTGAAAAAGTTGAAATCAGAATTTCATGATCTAACTAAACCTGAGGGACAAAGAATCCCAAACAACTAGAAAAGTAGAATGCGTTTAGCCTTTACAAATCTTTGGAGAATATATAGTATTTGCATAGTCTCCATTTTTTTTTATTAATAAACACATTTATTTAGATATATGCATTCCTTGAAAAAAGAAATTTAAAAGGAAAAAAAGAAACAGCAACAGAAAGCTTGAGGGTGGTCTAAGATGTCTGTCTTCTTTACGTAACCTTTTGCATTTTGTGTTTAAGAACTGACATTCCAAATCATTTTCTTTGGCTTTATGCCTGGAGTGAATACTGAGGCAGCAAATTAGGAATGCTTAAGAAGTCCCACAAAGAAAGATGTTTGCTGTGAAAGTGCAACGAATGTGACACTTGCACTGGAAGCTTCTTAGCTTGCTGAAATGATAAAAGGTGGCATGGGTCTAGGTGGTGCAAGGGAAGTGAGTGAAGCCTGAAAGTGCCATGTGCTGAGCTGTACAAGGTGTCTCCCGTGCCAGCTCTCTGCCACTGTGACTGTGCTGACACTACCTTTTATTTCTCTTCCAGGGGCTAACTTTGTCACTCGAAAGATTAGCCGATCCGTAGCAAAGATTCACCTTGGGCAGCTGGATTGTTTCAGCCTGGGCAATCTGGATGCTAAGAGAGACTGGGGCCATGCCAGAGACTACGTTGAGGTAAGCTGTGGGATTTTTTCTGAATCATCTTTGTGGAGGGGATAATGCTTAGTGCTGTAACTTCAGGTTATAGTCCACAGAGGGCTATCTCAAGTTTTTTTTTTTTTTTTTGCTTATTGAGGTCTGTTAACTTTGTCTTGCTCTTGACTTCAGATTAGGGAATTTAGTAACACAGCAGTCTACCCCAGGCATGACCTGAACAGAAAAATAAATCTTTGAGTTTACATTCCTTGCCTGAATTCCTGGGGAAGGGATCTGACTACGACGTGGATCTATTTTAAAGTATTTCTTCTATTCTTTTGACAAATTTTATGACCAATATTAAGATTTCAGCAAGATGCAGTATGACCTGAAATGAAAGATGCTGTTGGAGGTTGGTGACCTTATTTTTAATAAGGCAAAAATTACGTCTATATTAATGATCAAAGGACTCTTTGGTTATACAGTCTAAAGAAGCATTACACCATAGTTGTGATGGCAGGTATTGGAACACATAAGCCTGCATTTAATGTTTGAAATGTTTGTGTAGTCAGGACTTGTTTCTAATTTTATTCTACCCATCTGCTTAAGCAGACAAACAAACAATACCCCTGTATTGTATTACAAGGAGACATGAATGACCGTGTAGGAAATATTGTCTTTTCCCCAGGAGATTTTTGTCCCCATTTTGGTGCTTAAAGATTTCCTGTGGTCATTGGACTATTTCTGTCTTTTAATAATTCCTTGCTGGGAAACCGGATTTGACTTCACCATTCATTGATGTAGTTTAAAAAGATGACGACTGTTTGTTTTGGTTTTCTGTATTACAAAGTAAGAAATATCTCAGTAGGCAAAAGTCTGATTTTTATCATAAATTGAGACTTTAAAGGCAGAGTAAAAGCTGAGCTCTCAATACTTCTTTATGGTCAAAAAGAACAAGAAAACAAAATTGTAATACCTCTATAAACTGATGTCCTGGATGACATTAAGAAAGGTAAACAGCCATATTGCCTTGGTATCAAAAGGGTTACATTAAGCAAGTAAAGAAGGTGTTTTTTGGCAGTCAGTTATAAATGAATTTGTCTTTGGTTCTGTGCTGCGTTTTTGTGTGAGATGCTAAGGGCACCATGAGCATAGTGACTGCACCTCGATGACTGTTGTTTTATATTTGTGCCTACAATATTGGTTGAAGCACTTTAACCAGTAAACCATCCCAGTCGTCTTGTTAATGCATGAAACTATGGTCATGAGTGATCATAAAATCAGTTACCAAGTCCCAACTGAAAGGAAGTAAAAGATAAGTCAAATAAAATGATCAGTTGCATGAACTTAATGAGTATGATTTGTTAACAGGCATTGGATATTTCATAAAGACTTCAACTATCTCATTCTAAATTGCACTAGGTCATAAATCATGGGATGAATCCTGAAGTGTTCTTCCCTGAGGGGAATCCAGAATGACTCTCTTGTGCCTTATGGGTTAGACCCTTGTCCTGTGTTCACAAAATCATAGGATGAGTCAGGTTGGGAGGTACCACTGTGGCTCATCTGGTCCATCCTTCCTGCTCGGGCCGGATCATCCTAGCGATCATTGAACAGAGCTGTGTCCAGACAGTTCTTGCATATCTCCAGCGAGGGCAACTCCACAATCTCTCTGGGCGATCTGTTGCAGCACTCAGTCACCTGCACAGTAAGGAAGTTCTTCCTTATATTCAGGTGGAACTTTATGTTGCTTCTCTTTGCCTCTTGTCCTATTGCCTGGCACCACCAAGAGCCCTGATCCATCCTCTTGACAGTGACAGAAATTGATGGCATACGATCCCCTCTCAGTCTTCTCTTCTTGAGGCTGAACAGGCCCAGCTCACTCAGCCTGTCAGGGCTATCATTTGAACCTTAAAAACCAAAAAGGAAATGAGAACAAGTCTATCCAGAAGGATGACTAGCTTTCAAGGCCTTTGGCCTCCAGAAGGAATGTAGTTGTCTGAGGTCTATGGCACAAACACATGTTTTTGTGCAAGTAGCATTCCAGGCCTTTCAGCTACACATCTTGGGCCTGTCCCAAAATCTTCTGGAAAGAATTCTTCGCTAAAGTATAGTTCATCTTGAATATTTCTCATCCCAGAGAGGTACCCCTACATATAATGGGAGAGTTATTATCAATTCTCTAATTCCCTGAGTATTGTGGAAATGTGGTTACAGGCAGCCTTCTAAAGGCTGAAAAATAGGGTAACTTTAAACTGGAAATAAACAATTATTTGAGGCTTTAATGGACTGGAAAGTAGGGCTTAGAGATTTAACGTTGTTCAAATAAATACATAATATGTTAGAAAGCACGATCATATTTACAAGCATTTTGGGAGCTTCCTTAAGCATATGGCTGGACACATAGGGATATATCTTATCCTCTCCATATGTAGCTTTAAATCCCATTGATATTAATACAAGTAACACATGTGCATATAGACTAGACCATGTACTGTGTTTTATTTCTTCTTATTTCCTTATTAGGGATAATAATAAAACCATAAATACATTCCTTTTTGTTGTTTTATGAAATATTGTGGGTCAATTCCTGATCTCATGAAAGTTGATGAGCAAGCTCCCATTGACTTCATGGAGAGACAGTATCCTGTGTGTGTTGGACTTGAGAACGTCTGGTGGTTACAAAGCACAGGCAGAATTCATGACTCTTGAGCTTTCATTATATGAGTTCATTTGACTGCCACTGTGTTTTTGGGCAAACTCCTTTGCATAGAGTAAAGCATGGGAGCTTGTGCCTGCAATGAAGCATGTAGGTGCCCACCGAGGGATGGGTTGAGGGTAACTTTAGTAGCAGATGATTCAGAAATTTGGGGTTTAAACATGGGTTCCTATCACTGGAAAATAGTTGAAAAATGTGTTTGATTAGGATTTTGACTTGGACTTCCACCTGCAGCAGCAGGGTACAGCAGCATTGTGCTGGTGAATGAAAAACGGGAAGTCCAACTCACTGGAAAGAAAGGATTCCATTCAGTGTTTGAAGAGAACAGAATAGAAATGAGTAGGCATTGAAAATTTTTGGTGCGGGATTATAAATTTTAACCTAAAATTAGTAACTCTTAACATACTGGCAGGAATTTTTGCTGCCTCCTGCTCTCTCTTTCTCCGTTATTTACTCTGCTATGATCCAGCACAAGTCTCATGAGATTGTCTTGGAGAAAATGATCAATGCCACTGAGTTGGAAGAGGGAAAGCAGTATTGACATATTCTGTGTACTATTTTGCTTTGTGAGGATAAGATACCCTTTATTTGTTGCAGACTATCTGCTGAGTATTTTCGATTATTAGCACAATAACAAACCTTAAGAGTACTGAGTACAGGGGAAGAATCACCCTGCTGGCCACACTATTGCTGGTACAGGCCAAGATACCATTGGCCTTTTTTGGCCACCTAGACACACCAGCCTTCATTAAACAGCTGAGGCTTTTTCTGCCTTTCCTTCAGTTTCCTCTTTATCACCTGCTGATGCTCGGGTTGCCTTCTGCAATTGCACTGCCCATACCTCAGTGTTGTGCAAACAGCAGAAAATATTGCACTGACAAAAGCTGTGGAAAAGCCCTTCAATCTTGATCTTACAAAACTAAAAGTAGGAGTCAAAGGTATTCATAGAGATCAGAAATATTTTCTCTTGCCTTCAATAGAAATCCAGCAGTATGTCAAGCAATAATTACAGAGGACTCATAATTGGGTTATAATTGGCTCCAATTCAATTAATTACATGTCTAGTCAAAAGTGTAAAATTAGGTATGTGCCTATATTCGTGGTGAAATCAGGGTGCATTTGATATTTAGAATGTATGGGAATTGGCTTCCATTAATTTATATTTAAATAATGTAAAAGAAAACAAAGCAAAAGAGACTTGTTTATAAATAAGTAATATAGTAAGTTATTGTACAGACCAACAAAGCATTTTAAGAAACTATGAAACTTCTTAAAGAGAAAATGTCCATCTTACTTTCTTTTAAATTGGTACTAGTGCCGATTCATACGTTAATCTGTGATTAAATTCACAAGAAAATACACAGTCATTTTTATGGTCTTAGACCATTTTGCACATGTTGAAATGTAGATAGTAAAATCTAATCTTTGTTTAAATCTCTAGTTAGCATCACCTGGTCTTTTATTCATGATGTTTCTACTTACCATTCTAATAGGCAGAAACTCACCCTTGAAAACAACTGCTACCACTGCTATTGTGGGAAATCCCTCCTTGTATGTTTAAATATAAAACCTCTTGCCAGACAGAATTATTTAGAGTTTTTACTTTACTCTTGTGCATAAGAAAAGGAGCCAGCCAGCAAGAATATTGGCCAACGCAATTCTACTTTGCTTTGTTATTTTCTTGTAGTGTTGTCTTTTGAGATACATATTACCTTAGTCTGCTAAGACTTGAATTTTTTTCTGTGTAATCCTTTCACCATCTTAGCTGAATTCTTGTTTGTGAGAGTCTTGCTTTGTTAAGGACTCTTGGTTATAATAGGAAAGTCAGTTGTATCTGTCTGTGTAACTATCAATGTCTCATACAGTTATGAGATTGGCTCATGATCCTAAGGCATGTTTCTAAATACCCTTTTGGTATGGACTGAAGTGAAAAACGCTTTTCCTTTCTTACTTCTTACTCTTTATGTTAAAAGTCAATGTCTTCTAATAAAAGTAAAGAAATCATTTTAAACCCTCAGTGATGGGCTTATTTCAATGTGAGTGTACAGCCATCCAGGTAAAGTGTATTTTGTGTATTTTCAAACACACAGAACTTTTTCTTTCCATCAGCTTGTCTGAGGTGGCATAACTAATGGCTCTATTAAGCCAAACGATCTTCAAATTAAATCAAATCTGCTCCAGTTGAGGTGATTATGCATTAAACTGTTTCCTTATAGGTGAAGTAATTGTGAGAGCATCAGGACTTGTAAGCCTTGAGGAGAAAAGTTTGATAGACTGTGCTCCTTTGGAACAGCTACTG